AGAAGAGGAGGATCCGGGCTGCTCTGTGCAAAACCACTGCACACAGCAGGTAAGTATAGACATGTTTGTTATTTTTCCTTAAAAAAAATAAGCCTTTAGAATCAATTTAACTCCCAATATATTTGAGAACATAAAGATTTAAACCTGGGCACAATAATATACTTAAAATATATTCTATAGAGTTACAACAGAAAATAAACCTTGTACAGTTGTCACAAGAACAAGATATGAGGGAAAATCTTCCCAGGGGACAGTTGTTTTGATGATGAAGGGGTCCCACAATTTTCTACTGCTTCTGCAGGACAAGAAGTGAAGGAAAACCTCCCAAGGGGGCCTCATGCACATGGTCAAACAATATTTTTGCTGGCAGCAAAATCTTGCATAAAAAGTTACCTGTACTGCATTCTGAATTATACTGACATACAGTTCATACAGCTGAAATTCCTAGAGGCAGCTTGTATGGCCACTTCTCCCCTGCCTAGTGAACGATGCAAAAGTGTGCTAGTAATATGGAGTCATGACAGAGCTTACTGAGCCTCAAAGAGGACAATTTAATGGTGTCTGCTTAGCTGGTGCTTCTGTGACTGAAACTGCCAATTTCTTTGCGCTGTCACGAGGTACAGTATCAAAGGTTATGATGACATATACAGTTTCTGGAAAGCCGTCATCTGATAAGCATAAGTGCGGTCGACATGGCCAACTGACCGAAAGAGACAAAAGGATTGTGACCCTGAATAAGAAAACAATCTGCTGCAAAAGTGACTGAAGAACAGTCTTCCAAAGCCCATGTTCACAAAAACTGTGCGGAGGGAACTTCATAAGCAAAACATTCATGGGCGAGCTGCAATTGCCAAACCACTAGTGACTGATATTAATGATCAGAAGAGGAGAGGGTGGTGCAACACCCATAAGTCATGGACTATCCATCAATGGAAGACTGTAATATGGTCTGATTAATTGAGTTTCCAACTATTCCCTACCACTGGATGTGTTTTCATGTGACAAACACAGTCCCAAGCTTACAACCAGGACTGTCTTGTGCCAATGGTAAAGCATGGTGGCGGTGCAATCATGGTTTGGGCAGCCATATCTTGGTATTCTTCAGGCCTCATCATCACCTTGAAACGTAGATTCACTGCCAGCAACTATGTACACATTTTGGTAGACCATGTGCACCCCATGGTTCAAACATTGTTTCCCAAAGACAGCGCCATTTACCAAGATGATAATGCTCCGATTCCCACAGCTGGTGTTGTCAAATCTTGGTTTGTTGAGACGAAGTCTCACACCTTCTCTGAGCGCCGCAGTCGCCAGACCTCAATATCATAGCTCTACTATGGTAAATTTTGGAGAACAAGGCTCATTTTTCACCAGCATCTCTACGAGAACTGAAACGATTTTTGCATGAAGAGTGATGTCAGATTTCATTATCCACTATCCAAGACTTATATTTGTCAATTTCCAGAAGAATTCAGGCCGTCTTGGATGCCAAAGGCAGTCTAACACCATATTAGGTAACAATTTAATTCTTTTACCTGATGTTTCCATAATGTAACCCCTGTAAATATGCAATAAACTGTACCTGTTAAAATATAGACTATATTTTGCTCCTAGCTTGAAATGCAGAAATTAATCCACAACATTTGAGACTCAACCTACACCGGGCCAATTCCCAGCATATATTTGTGACCATTTATTGATTCATCTATATTTAATACTTTGGCTTTTTTAATATAATAAAATTCAACCTCTTTCTCATCAAACTAAAAGTCCAGGACACCAAGTAAACAAGTTGGTACCCCCATTGCTGTACCTTTCAAGTGCCAGCCTTATGTCTTTTAACACTGAGCAGGGAGTTCTAACCCCTTGGTAGTTAGAAAAAAATTTCTTTTTTCACAGTCAAATCACAGATTTTGTTTTACATGAAAATGCACCTATAACCCTAAATAATCTACACTTTCTGTAAACAAAAGACCTGTAAAATAAAATAATGAAATCTTCAAATTTTATGTCACATATTTGCTATCTGTTTACCAAATCTAAATAAAAAAAAACATTCACATAATATAATCTCTACAATCTGTTAATTATAAAGGATTAGACTAGTTGTGTAAATAGATTTAAAAACTGTAAGGGCTCATTCACACTTGACTTTATTTCTAACTCTTGCCAAATGCCCCTATAGCGTTTGACAGGCGTTAGCAGGCGTTTGTGAAGCATTTTTAATGCTACGCAAATGCTCCCAAAACGCCCTATGCGCGGTTTTGAGGTGGTTGATAGGCGTTTGCCAAGCGTTAAAACCGCACCACAAACTCCTATAATGAAGTTTAAATGGTATTAATGCTCCGCAACCGCAGAGCGGCACCATAGACTTGAATGGGAGGCTTCAACTCCTCCTGACTCGACCAGAGGCATCAGTTTTGCCGCAACGAGACACTAATGCTTCCATGTGAACAGCACTGTGTGCTGCCATGTGCAGAATTTTTCAGAGGCGTTTGAGAAGCGTTAAAAACGCTTCCCAAATGTCTGTCTGACGCCTGCTGACAAAGCTAGTGTGAGCGTAGCCTTAAAATGTGTGTTTGTTAAACAGGAACAAACTAGAATACTCAAAATTGTCTATAGGCAATGCTTTAAAAATCTGTACAGTCTATCAATTTTGAGCTAAGCATAAATGATGACCCTAGAATAAATCCTGTTACTTGGATGTGTGATGATGCCCAATATACAGTTGCAAGAAAAAGTATGTGAACCCCTTGGGATTACGTGGAGTTTTGCATGACTTGGGCATAAAATGTGCTCTGAACGTCATCTAAGTCACAACAATAGAAGAACACAGTCTGCTGAACATAATACTACACAAACATTAGATGTTGCCATGGTTTAATTGCACATAACATGTAAACATTCACAGTGCAGGGAGGAAAAAGTATGTGAGGCCCTAGCTTAATGACTCCTCCCAGAACTCATTGGAGCCAGGAGTGAGCCAACCTTGACTCCAATCAGTATGATGATACTGGATGTGTTGCTGACAGCTGTCCTGCCCTTAAAAAACACACACCTGTTTTGCGTTTACTGGTTTCAAGAAGCACTGTCTGATGTGAACCATGCCTCGCAGAAAACAGCTCTCAGAAGACCTACGATCAAGAATTGTTGACTTGCATGAAGCTGGAAAGGGTTACAAAAGTATCTCCAAAAGCATTGATGTTCATGTGTCCACAGTAAGACAGATTGTCTACAAATGGAGAAAGTTTAGCACGGTTGCTACTCTCCCTAGGCGTGGTCGTCCTGTAAAAATGACTGCAAGAGCACAGCGCAGAATGCTGCATGAGGTAAAGAAGAATCCCAGAGTGTCAGCTAAAGACCTACAGAAATCTCTGGCACATGCTAACATTTTTGTTAACACATCTACAATAAGGAAAACATTAAACAAGAATGGAGTACATGGGAGGACACCACGGAGGAAGCCATTGCTGTCCAAAAAGAATATTGCAGCACGTTTGAAGTTTGCAAAAGAGAACCTGGATGTTCCACAGCACTACTGGCAAAATATACTGTGGACAGATGAAACCAAGATTGAGTTGTTTGGGAAGAATACACAACACTATGTGTGGAGAAAAAAAGGCACAGCACACCAACATCAAAACCTCATCCCCACTGTAAAACATGGCGGAGGGAGCATCATGGTTTCGGGCTGCTTTGCTGCCTCAGGGCCTGGACGGATTGTTGTCATTGATGGGAAAATGAATTCCAGAGTTTATCAAGACATTTTGCAGGAAAACGTACGACCATCTGTCCGCCAACTGAAGCTCCGCAGAGGATGGGTGATGCAACAGGACAATGACCCAAAGCATACAAGTAATTCAACAAAACAATGGCTGCAACAACACAGAATTCGCCTTCTGGAGTGGCCCAGTCAGAGTCCTGACCTCAACCCGATTGAAATGCTGTGGAATGACCTTAAGAGAGCGATTCACACCAGACATCCCAAGAATATTGCTACACTGAAACAGTTTTGTGAAGAGGAGTGGTCCAAAATTACTCCAGATCGTTGTGCAGGTCTGATCTGCAACTACAGGAAACGTTTGGTTGAGGTTATTGCTGCCAAAGGAGGGTCAACCAGTTATTAAGTCCAAAGGTTCACATACTTTTTCCTCCCTGCACTGTGAATGTTTACATGTTATGTGCAATTAAACCATGGTAACATCTAATGTTTGTGTAGTATTATGTTCAGCAGACTGTGTTCTTCTATTGTTGTGACTTAGATGATGTTCAGAGCACATTTTATGCCCAATTCATGCAAAACTCCACGTAATCCCAAGGGGTTCACATACTTTTTCTTGCAACTGTATATTGCATAATCATTTAATTACTTGTGTGCGACATACAGGCACATATTGAGTTTATATTCGTATGAGGGCAGGGTGGCGGTGGGTTTAAACAGCAGTTCATTGGTCTTATGCCACTCTCCATTTCGACACTGATTATGGATATCCCAAGACACAGGTGGGACTGGCACACAATTTAGGAGGGGGAGCAGGTTTTATAACCTATAAGTAAATCACTTCTATTTTGTTTAACCACTTGCCTACAGGGCACCCCCTTCCTGCTCAGGCAAATTTTCAGCTTTCAGTGCTGTTACACTTTGAGTGACAATTGCGCGGTCATGCAACACTTTACCCATATGAAATTTTTATCATTTATTTTGAGACAGATAGAGCTTTCTTTTGGTGGTATTTAATCACCTTTGGGTTTTTTATTTTTTATAAACAAAACTAAAAACAACTGAATATTTTGAAAAAAAAAGTTTTTTTCTTAGTTTTTGTTATACAATGTTGTAAATAAGTGATTTTTCTCCTTCACTGATGTGCGCTAATGAGGCTGCAGTGATGGGCACTGATAGGCAGCAGTGATAAAGCACTGATGAGGAGGCACTGGTAGGTGGCACTGATGGGCATTGATAGGCATCACTGATGGGCACTGAAAGGCAGCACTCATATATGGCACTGATAGGTGGCACTGACTGGCACTGTTAGGTGGCACTGGCTGGCACTGTTAGGAGGCACTGACAGGCAGCACTGATAGGTGGCACTTACCGGCATTGATAGGTGGCACTGACTGACACTGAAAGGCAGCTCAGATGGGCACTGATGTGGCATTGATGTGCACTGGTAGACACTGATATGTGGCATTGATGAGCACTGACAGCTCGCACTGCTGGGGCTACACTGATCATCAGGGCACACTGATCATCAGTGCCCTGATGATCAGTGTACATGTCCCCTCTGAAGAATGCCGCTTACCAGCTCTCCTCTCCTCACGAGCCGTCAGCGTGACAGCTCTTGAGGAAAGGAATGCCGGCATTTCCTTATTTACATGCAATCAGCTGTGATTGGACACAGCTGATCACATGACCGAGCTGACGTCTTTGGCTCTTTCCGTTGATCGGTGATCCGCTGTGTCCGAGGGACACAGAGCACCACCGATCGCTGCACTGCGTGCCCCAGAAGCCGCACACACGCGGTGAGAGTGGAAAGACGTCATATGATGTCCTCACAGAACGAGAGAACCGCCTTGTGCCCGTCATTTCCTTATATTTAGCGGGCGGGAGGCGGTTAAACACTTTTTTTGTTTTACTTTAAATTTTTGGAAACTTTTTTTTTTTTTTTGCTTACCTGGCTTAACGGACTTGACTGGTGACATCAGGGATCAAAGATCCCATACCCTCTGGACCCCAATTAAGAAAATCAAGTACAGATTGTTAATGGTCAGCTTATTCCCCAGCCAGAGATGCTGGAGAATGACAGTACTGGCACTGGAAATTAAGAAATGCTCAACGTTACAGCTTCATTGACCGGAAAGGTACTCAGCGAATTGATGTTCACCAATCTCTTTCTGCTCTACCTGCCAAAACTTGCCATACCTGTCTTGGGCACACAGGGCAGTGGAGCCCAGAAAATATGTCAGGGGTAGTTGGGTTGTACAGGGGTAGTTGGGTTGTACCATCCAGGATGTGTGTAAATCATAATTTCCAACAGAAAGATGAGAATTTGCTTTAAAAGTGTAAGAATGTGTTTAATACTCTGTACTGCTGCTAACGTAATCCTTATTCAGTGGCAGCAAAAGGGTTAAAGTGGTTGCAGACCTCAGACATTAAAAGTGAACAAAGCACATGCCTCTATAGTGTTTACTTTCCAGTGATGCCAACCTCCCGCAGCATTTTTTACTGAAAAATATGGAAAATTTGCTGATGCAGCACTTTTTTTTTACTGACAACATGAAAAAACTAAGACAATTGATATTTAAACAGTATAAACACAATATGGGAACAATGACAATACCCATAACTAGTAATTTGTTGGTTTACACTTAAAAAGTCAACACAGTGTGCCAAAATATCAGCCACTGATAATTCACAGAGAGTTGTAAAAATCAGATTTTTACAAACTGTCCTTAAATTTACCGACGGTTGGCAACCCTGGTACTGACCTGAATCCAACGCACCAAGTGTGGTTCTTCTCTGATCTGTTCTCTCTGCATGAATCACTGATAGAACTGTAATCCAATCCGACAGCCTCACAGGAGACAGCCCACTCCCTCCAACACACAGAAGATGACTCAGAGACTGAGCTCTGTTTTTCTGTTTAAGCCTGTTAGAAGGGGGTATGCCCTTTCCCTACAATCAGATCTCAGATTTCACAGAGCTCTGTGCTCTAGATCTGTATTGTGTGACATATTCCCGAGAGATGCTGTGTAAAATATGTGTTTTGGAAGACTGTAGAAGATAGAGGGCTTCAGATAAACAGGTACAACGTATGTAGGAGGATTTGTTTCACCTCTGTGTATCACCACAGGCTTGTCACTTCACTGGGTATATACAGTATAAGGGTTTACAACCATTTGAATCAACACAAGATGAAGTATTCTGGTACATTGGGTTATACTGCCGTCTTCAGGAGACTGGAAACTGGCAAAAAAGAACGGTAAAGACTGTCCAGTAAAGCCATTGCCAGTCCCAGCCTGTTTAACAAACAATAGTGAAACATAAGAACAAAGGGGAGGGACCTGTCTAATGTTCTCCAAGTATTTCATGGTAAGTCAAAGTCCTATTTTCCTAAATCACACATTCTGTAAGGGGATACAGGATGAGGTTAAGAAGTACTTTGGGATGCTCAAAAGCAGTTAAACTGAAGGGTGGGCAACACATCAATGAAAGGCTAACAGGCCAACTAAAAAAACAACTGGTTAGCAAAGGCAACTCAACAGAGACACCTGAAGAACCTTAAAACTAAAGCCGGCATCAGCTGAGGTCTGAACATCCACCTCGTAAAGCATAATGAAAATGTGAACAAAAAAGCAGATGGAAGCCTGCAAACCTGAGAACAGAAAAACTGATCTAGTGGACCGCACTTTGACAGGAAAAGGATAACCTCGCTTTTCAGGCTATAAGCTTGAATAAGCTTGAATAAGGATTTGTTACAACCACATGGTGATAAAACGAGAAGCAGGTTGTCCCCTACAGGGATCTTCAGGAACACCAAACAGACTGTCTAAGGGCAGCTGTAGCTGCAAGGCAGACTCAAATAGCACTTTCCATATCCAAGCAAAGAAGGTAAAATCATCTTAGAAGGTTGATGATGATAGAAAATGATGATAGAAAAATGTGAAGCACCATTTGTGTAGCACAAGAAACTGTCCATGTGGAACTGCCTCAAAGAAGGTCATCATCAGGCCTAAACCTCTCATGCAAGACTATGGAGTCCTGGAGTATGTCCAAGGGAGGGAAGACCTTGAACACGGCTGTGTCTACGATCAGGACCAGATACACCAAGCAATGAAACAGTTTCAATGCAGATTTCTGGAGATTTAGGATCCATCCAAAACTCTACAGGGTATGCACCTTGGTGAAGACCCGAGATGCAGTAGACAGACCAAAGCAAAGTGCAACAAATTAGCAATGCTGGAAGTCCACAGCAAAAAACACAGCTATTATTGATGTGCTGGGAAGAAAAAGATGTAAGTAGGCATCTTTGATGTACATAGGGAATTTCTGTACCCAGAGGAAAATGCTGAGGAACAGGTTTGAAACATCTAATTTTCTCAGACAATGGCTACGACTCCTTGAGAAAGAAGTTGTATCAGAGCAGTGTAATGGTCTCCCAATCATTGCAGAGACCTTGGCAAGTTTAAACAACTCTGTTGAAACAAAAAAATACAAAAGTTTGTAGCCTCTGGAAACAAAGTTCAGGGCCCAAACATTCCTGGAACAGATGTCCCATTACGCTATCAAGTGCCTCCCCTTATTTTGAGGAAAATTTGCTTGTGAATTTAGAGAACTTGTGGGTCCAGAGCTTACAGTGGTACAGAGTACCAGGCTTTGCCTTAGACCTGAAGGTCTAAAAGAAACATAAGGAACTCTTCTTAGCCTAAGGAGTAGGTGGTTTCTCGCATGTTGATTTTTTATTTTGTTTTTTGGGGAAAAAGGTATGCTCTTCCCTCCTTGATGATGTTGTTCATGGATTTGCCAAAGGGGTACCCCTGTCAAATGGTGATGGGCTCTGGAGGATGCTTCTGTTCCCTGCATTTTGATTTAGCTATGACAGATACAATTTTCCACCTACAGTCAGACATTGTGGCTGATAATTCTTTCCTAGATAAAATCAAGAAAGGAGTTATCCCTTAAGGAGTTAAGGAAGATTCAGATAAGTGCTTGGACAGGAGATTTTGACCCCGAATATTGGTGTCAGGACCCCTAAGGCAGATACTGTAGGTCCCTTGGCACTGTTAGCGTTCATTTACACTAGGGGTTGTGGCTGTGCTTTTTCTCCCCTCCCCCCACCTTTTACCTGGAAAAGCAGGGACTGGAGGTGTACAGATGCCGTGGCAGGTAATATACACACTGTTTCATTTGGCGGACACTACTGCCTGCTGAAAGTGACTCATTAAAGTGAACAGAACCATGCAGTTGTGGTGTGGTAGTCCAGACATTTAGGGGGATAAAACAGGCAGTGAAAAGGCGATACAAAAACCTCATCGCCACCTGTCAAATGTTCTCTGAAGAGCAATCTGATCAGGGATTGCGCTTCAGAGAGCACCGCCAGTGTAAACAAGGATTTAATGGATCACAGGAGCAATGAGGCTAAATCTGGGTATACAGAGGTAGGATCAAAGAAGCATGCCATTACTGATAGTCACCGTCCCCACTGACAGGCATACCCCCTAGGGGTTTTTCAGGGAAGGGTTTCCACCAGATAAGAGCACCACAGCCCTGGACCTGTACAACACTCTATCGCTGACTCACACGCTTCATGAAAGTACCCAGACAATCGCCTTCTGCACAGTGCAGTGCCAAAAGACACATTACAGGCCAGTCCTGTTTCTTTCAGAGGGGTTTGGGATACAACTTCTGTGTCAACACAGGCAATTTAGGCAATTCAGAAAGTTGCAAAATGAGTCTCTTCTGACTTTGCAGCTACTGAAAAAACTTGCATGAAAAAGTAATAAAAGGAGGCGAGGAGACATCCACTCTCCTAGAAACTAGCAAAAACAAAACTGAGGTAAGCTGGAAGTGGAAGGTCCTTACAGCTTGCCAGTGTCCAATCTCCTGAAAGCAGTAGCATAACCGATTGTACCTGAATTAACAAACTAGATTTTCTTTCAGATGAAGATCACTTTTAAACATTTTTTGAGATCATTTTTTTTAGTGGCTACAATAGTAGAAATATCATTACACGTTAAAATATGTATATAATGGAAACGATATTATAATGTTTATGTCAGCAAATAAAGAGTACTGCTGAAAAATAGAAATTAAACATCCTGACAATATCAATTGTAAAACAAAATATTGATTTAAACAAAATTATCGCAAAACTACATGATAATATATAAATAAATAAAGCACTATATATATGGAAAAAATATCATATATACACAGTATATATACTGTATAAAATTTAAATCACTTTGGAAGTAAAATGATCTGTTGTCAGATGTGATGGTCACATGATATGCATTGATAAATTACAACACCCAAACTACTGTCTACCATTTGAAGTGAACTGACCCCATTTTTCTACGCCGTTTTTCCTGCAAAATAATAAGCAAAACATTATTTTCATAGGAACTACCAAGACTGATGGTTTGTTCTCTATCTGAGCCTCTATATCTGTCACGATGTATGGGAATTTTAAAACCATACAGCTTGCATCAACAGAGAAATTGTTGACTCCATGTGTGAGAACGTATAAGCTAAAAAGAGTTAGCAAAATGCACCATTAACCACTTGACCACTGGAAGATTTACCCCCCTTCATGACCAAGCCATTTTTTGCAATATGGCACTGTGTTCATTAAACTGGAAATTGCGCAGTCATGCAATGCTGTACATAAATAAAATTTGTGTCATTTTTCCCCCACAAATAGAGCATTCTTTTGGTGGCATTTGATCACCTCTGCGGTTTTCATTTTT